TGCCAAAGCCTCCTCAAAGTGATGGCCAATGGCTCAGGAAAGGAACACTTTCAGTTCTGGCCATCTCAGGATGTATTTACACAGCCTAAATATTCCACAGAGAGAATATTTGGCAGTGTCTTCTCTGGGCTGCTTCAGGAAACAAAGGTGAGAGGCTGAAAAAGCACCATCATTAATTGGTGTGAAAWGATTCTCCTCCCATTGAGCCCTTATCAGCTAAGTTATCTCCATATGGAGTTGCAGAAAAGGCTGCTTTTCTCATTTTGAGATTGACTGGGGGGAAAAGGAGTCTCAAAGGGATGAAATTCCCATTTGGTGAGGACACTTCCATAAAGTTCAGGCCTTGTAATGTTCTGCATTTATAAAGARCAGCCTGTAAGCCCCAGATGGAGGGATCAGACACCACGACTTCTTGGGGAGATGCAAATCTTGGGGATGAAATGGCAAATGCTCTCAGACCAAATTAAAGTCAGTCTAGGCTGAAYTTTTAAGCCATGTACATTGACAGTAGGTCTAGCAGACGTTTTAAGAACTGTTCACACTCCTCCTGCTTGAACTAATTAGCCCACTGAGGATGGGAGGATTTTCTGAAATTCCCAAGGTGCCACCTACTGGTGCCAATAATTATTTTTAACCTCCACTGGCAACTCAAAGCAGGTAATTTGTTGAACTTTAGCAGTATAAATAGCTGGTAGACAGAAAGGCAAAATTAACTCGTGGTGATTTCAATGAAGTCACTTGAAATGAGGAAGCTGAATARTCACAAGCAGAGAAATGGGGACTTTTTACTTCCCAGAACCACAGAAAGCAATTTCAGTACTTCATATCAGCTATATTCCTCTGTTGCATGTAATTTAAGTATTTTTTAACTAAAATRAAAATATTTGTAATTTTTAGGGATGAAATGCAGAAACAGGCCAAACAGAGACAAAACACTGCCTGTGTGTCTCCCATGCTTTACAAGGGCAGTGCATCCTTTTGCACAGTCCCATTATTTCACACTCAGATACAAAATGCAACTTTAACAAAGCAGCAGACAAATGAATATTTTGTGTTAAAACTCAACAGTGCCATGTCCTTGATGATGAACTGCTTCTAAAGGAAGCTTTCTGCTTTCCAGACTATGAACATTTAAAATWCACTTACCAAAGTCTGTGTGATTGCTCATCCAGCCAATTTCCTTAATAGACACCAGTGCCAACAGTCCAGAGCCAACAAATGATCCAATGCCCGAAAAGAAAAAGAACAGTCCCATGATAGCACTCTGCATAGATTTGGGAGCAGCTGAATATGCAAATTCCAGACCTGTAGTAAAAGATGAAAAGAAATACTATTGGAGTTTCTAAATGAAAGTAGATTGTTCTGCTTTAATGTTCTAGAAGTTCCAGCTGTGCAGTGAATCCCCAACAACTCCCAAGTCCTTCTAATTGCTTTATGTGTCCTCTTAAAGGTCATCAATGTATCAGCCCATTAAATGGACAACATCTGAGACACAGACTTTGATCTTATTTATGCTACATGTATAAAATCAAGAAATCTTCTGAACTAACAACTCCTTTTTCTGTCTAAAATGATCCTCAAAGAAATGCATTAAATGAACCCGAACCTGGCAGTTCCATGTTTCCCATTCCCTTGTTTCCCTGTTTCCTGTTGTGCAGTGCAGGACAAAGCACTGGCATTTCTTGCTGAGAACCAAGTGAAACCCACTCCTGTATTGGCCATGAATTTTTATTTCTCACAGCCTCTGTAAGTGTAACTGGAAAGGCTGTCATTATTTTAATTTCATTTACTTTTGATCTAGAATTCTCTGAGTTCATTGCTTGCTAGCAAAGTTCTTTTTAAGATTTATATAGGGCTTGAACTTCAGCTGTCTACTCAAATTTCAACCAATAAACCCAAAAAAAACCCCACCAGTGACCATCCATCTGCAAATCCGTGCTACTGAGTTTGTGTACCAAGAGAACACGCTGGGTTAGGCTCTGCCACACAAAGATTAATGCCCATGATTAACTCTCCTTTTTAGAATAATACTCCTGTCAAAAATCAAATGGGATTATTCACAAGAGACAGTCAAATACATTCTTTGCAGAGCTTTTCCTGACAGGTGAAATGCTTGTTTCAAAACAGTCTGCTTCATAGTGAGAATTAATGCCACCTCATCGAACATTTTCTTTGCAAGGAGAGCATTACAGACCYGAAAATTGCATAACTCTCATGTCTTGCATAATAAAGGCATGCTTTATTTACACCATGGCTGCTATTGACTTGTGCTGCTCCAGCCAGGGTTTAATAGAAACACCCTGGCATTTCTTTTTGAGAAAAGGATAATCCTTCAAGGCAGACAGGCCAATGTGGCTGCTGCCAGGGAGGCACTTTG